CTTGCCCAATAGGGTTTTTGAATTTCCAGTCCAGGGTTTAGTGGATGAACCTGTCACTATAATGCCATAGGAGAGGCAATGCACTGTGATGAATGGGAGGATGTATCGATCTTTGATAAACACGAAGACTTTTTTGTTCTGAGGCAGTCTTTTTAGACCACTGCAATAGGATTCTAAATGTACCCCAGTTTGTCCATGGCACTACTTGAGGTGATAGTTTTTCAGAAGAAACTCGTCTATACCCAATAAAGTTAAACATTCAGAACCAACCTATAAGAGAGGAGTTTTGACAAATCTACTAGGTACTCAATACTGGGCATAGTAAAGGTTTATGTCCAAGAGACATAAACTAAGATAATATATGAGACTTGCTATTAGGAACACAGTCAAGATCTTAACTTGTAACATAAAATAACATGAAAACAACCAGATTCTAAGCTGCCGTATTTCAAACATATGTATATACTATATTAGTTCAGGACAGGAGGAGGAGAGATATAGAGAGAAGAATCATTATTAGCCAGAGTAATTGGGGTAGTTTTATCATCATTTAGTCTGTGACTTTTGAATCAATAGCCGCATTCATAAATTGCTTATAGAAATAGAACCAAGAGAATGCAATAGACAGAAGCATGGGCTTTGGAGTCAGGCAAGGCTAGGTTTGATATGATTTCTGAAGCTTACCAGCTGTTTGGTGTTGGATACTTTATTTAACCTCTCTAAGTCTCAGCTTCCTCATCTAAAAAGATGACTAAATCTGATGTGTGCATGAAGCATGTAGTCCAGTGTTTGAGGCAGGTGAAAGAAGACCTCACTTAGACCTGTAGATATGTTGATTTGTGTTTATTTACCATGGTGGAGAAGTGGCCTTTTTTTGGGGGAAAGGAATCCAAATTATTACCATGCAGTATGACTGTTTAGTGAGAGGAAGGGGGAAAAATGGAACAACTGAGATCTGCAAGCAGTGTGCTCTGAGAGCTAGGAAGGTCACCCAAACCTTCCCAGTTATTAGAACCAGATATGATGGTTATTACTTGTGGACAGGAAAAGCCAGCTACCTTGCTCATGCTGACACAAACCTCCCCAAGAATACGGTAATACGGACACTTTATACCAGCACTTCTTTTTGGGTGATTAGAATATATTGAGTCCTTCATGAACTTAAGCAGTTTTTATTATTATCATGGAGGCTTTCCAAGTGGCTCTGGAGGTGGACATTTGAAGTCCCCATGCTCCAGCTCAGCATGGGGACTTTTCAGAACTTAGAGCTAGACAAAAAATAACAAGATTTTTAGAAGCTAGACAAAAAATAACAAGATTATTCTCACTTATATTCCTTGGTGCACTATATTAATAGCTTGCTGAATTATATTTTCCAATTCATAGGTCAGCTCACCTTTTCCTTTGTAGAGCCCATTCTGTTTGATAATTCATAGGTGCAGCTTCTGGGGCTACTCAGGCCATATGTTGCCCTGGTGGATATCCAGTCCCTTGGCCCTACCACCAGACCCAGCTGAGGGAATGAGGCTCTGATGCAGTTCAAGTTCAGAGAAGGATAGAATAGGGGGAACGAGAGCGGTAGTGGAGAGGGGACAAAGAAAGCACAGGAGACAGAGTTTGACCTGAGAACTAGAAAAATGGAAAAGGGCACTCTGGCATCTTATATGCTTATAGAGGCAGAGAGGAAGAAAAGTATGATGTGTATAGAAGCCAGCAGGAATTTTTGTGCATGTGTGTGGACATATGAAGGAATACAATCAGAGTTAGGTTAGAGAGCTGGGTTTGGGATCAGATTGTGGCATGTTTTATGCTGAGATAAATTGTGCCCCACGCCCCCCGATTAATATGTTGAAGTCTTAATTCCCACTACCTCAGAATGTGACCTTTTGGGAAATAGGGTCATTGCAAATGTACTTAGGTACAGTGAGGTTACACTAGAGTGGAGTGGGCCCCTAATCCAATTGACTAGTGTCTTTACAAAAGGAGAAAATTTGGACAGAGACACACATAGGAAGAATGCCAGGTAAAGACAAAGCCAGAGATCAGAGTGATGCTTTTACAAACCAAGCAGTGCCAAAGATTGCCAGCAAACCAGAAACTAGGGGAGTTTTCCCCACACCCCTCAGAAGGAACAAACAATGCCAACACCTTGATCTCAAACGTCTAGCTTCTGGAAATGTGAGACAATAAATTTTCATTATTTAAGCCAATTGATTTGTGGTACTTTGTTATGGTAGCCCAAGGAAACGGATACATTCTAAATTGGCCTTTATTTTATGGGCAAAAGGAAAGCAAAGAAAAAGTGAGGAAAGAGACATAATCTGACCAATCTATTTAACTGCCACAGTTTAAATTGACTAAATGCGGGGTATAGGGACTAGAGACAGGAAGTTCGGTATGGAGTTCACAATGCAATTGCAGCTTGCAGTGCCTGGCACCTAATAGTCAGTAAATAACTATACATTATGTTTACCATGTCTTAATATCTGGCATATTACATGCATCATTTCATTTAACTCTTGCAATGGGAGATAGTAGCAATATGTCTTTTTTACAAATGAGCAAACTGATGTGCAGAAAAGGTAAGAGATGGAGCCAAAGATTCAATCCAGATCTATCTGTTTCCAGGGTCCAGGTTATTTACCACTATCCTATATGGTCTTAGAGTAAACATATGTTTAATAACTAAATGAGTGTGTGTGGATGCTTGTGTTTGAGATCATGTGCATAAGGATGATTGAGAAATAAGGCCAAGAAGGACAACTGCTATAATATAAATTCATCCCTTCAGATTACTGAAGTGGATACTTTATAGGGAAAATAATTAGAAAAAGGGATACCAACATGCATAAAATTCATGAGCATTTTAATAATGAGAATGATATACAAATTATTCTGCTAAAAGCAAACTAAATCAAGAAGCAGGCTATAGATACAGGCATAAAGAGATTTGAAATTTGAGTATTGGACCAGTCACTTAAAATTAAAAAAATTAAGTCCATTTAACTTCCAGTTTGACTACTTTTCAAGACGTTAACTGATGTGTAAAAACTTCATTTGTCTCTCAGAAGTCTCCATTTCCACTCACCTTCATTTGCATTTATAACATGAGCACAGTTGAGTTTCAGTAGACGTATTTTTTTTTATCTCTTTACATGGATCACTTTCTCTTTCTTACCTAATCCTTTACTGCCTTATTTATTGAATAAAATAAAATGATGCCCTCATTTAATCAATTCCTTTACATAGTTTACTTTCAATGCTTATTTATTTATTCCCACTCTTTCAGTGCAAATAGCAACTTTTTGAGATGTAAATTCAGAGGAGAAATGTCACCAGAAAAAGCAAAACAAAAAGATATTCTATATATATGGCTAATAAAGAAGAGTCACAGTGCATGAATTGAGATGCAAAAAGAGTAGAACCATGAGCAAAAATAAACTTATTTTATATTCCAGGACATTTTTCAGGCTTGTCTCAGAGAGCACACTCAGCCAGTTGCACAAGAACAATAGTGTTCTCTCCAATGAAAGATCAATTCAGCATTGGTATCTGGCTCAGATAGACAAATCTGATCATATCTGAAAGGTCTCAAGTTGCTTTTTAAGCATAACTGTATCAGTTTTGCACATGTTTGTGTGTGTGTGTGTGTGTGCTGCGTGTGCTGTGGCTTAGTTAAAGAAACATGTCAAATTATAATATATGGACTTATACCATCTACAGTGGCCCTGTCCATATATTTCTGTATTATTAAATAACACAGTGTACAGTCTTTAGAGGAGAAAGTTCAAAGAGAAAATGTGTTATCAGAAAATACCAGCTGGTGTAATGCATTAATTCCAAATTCTTGTTACACATTTCAGTGCCCACTAGTACACAGGCGCAGAATGGACAATTAGTATTAGTTGATGCACACATTTTTTCAAAATAAAGGAATTATTTTTTCAAGTTTTTCTTCTAATTGCACAAGTGTCATGCTTCTGAACTCCATGAACCACAACCTCTTGCCCTCGAACACTAAATTTGTGCTAGAATTCTATGAAATACATAGGTTTACCCCTTCATTTTATATGTGGAAAGGCTGGCACAACTATAACTATAGGCTGATAGAAATTCCAAAGAGCTGTCAAGCCTCCTAGGATGCTGCTGCAGCAGAGAGCACAGTGGCAGCTGTCTGTGGGGCCACTCAGACAGTTCCTGGCCCACCCATTACAGCATCCTGAGTGTGTGGTTTTCTTTATGTGGTACGCTTCACATCACAGACCTTGCCAAGTTCTCCTTCCTAAGTCTTCTGAAGGTCAACACAAAGAGCACTTGTCTTCAGTAGTCACACAAACCCTCCCTAATTGCTGAACAGGAGAAACTCACAGGTAATTGTGATGATGCTAGATCCTTTTATTAAAATATATTGGCTCACCGTTTGATAGTTAAACAGAAATACGTGCTATTTCCACTCATTCTACTCACAATCAGTTCTACATCCCCTATCCACTAATCTTTGCAAAATACAGCTTAGTGAAACAGCTGTATCACTTCAACTGTTTTACTATAACAACTTTTAAATCATTATTCAGGACCATTTAAACACATTCAAAAGTCAGTACATCACTTAGTTTTTAAACTTTCGTATTCTACCCATACAGACTAAAATGTACACATATACATCATTTAATGTACTATTTTTGCTGTACATTTAAAAATTATTTTTAATGTGCCCTTTGAAAATATTTGGCTGTACATTTCTTGTTTAATTTATGGCTGGCTGTAATTTTTCAGCAAATGTGCATATGATAGAATTTTGGCAAGGGGAGGAAATTCAATGTAAATATTGTTTTAAATATGGCTTTTTAAATGAACACAAAATGAAACAATTAATAGAATTGGTATAATTACTCATCACAGATATATTATTAGATATTCATTAAATTATATTGTACAGAGGGTATTTTTTAGTATTTTGAAATCAATATTTTTTTTTCCAATCTTGAATATTATTTCAGGTCTTGAGAAGCTTTTATGCCCTAACCACTATGTATATATTGTCTACCCTAAGAAAAGGGCTATGGAAGAGACTTCAAGATGCTCAGCCAATATCCAGTTGCTTGCCTAGCTAAAAGCTAGCTTTTCCAACTTCCCTTGCATCTAGGAAATTTACATGGAGAAGGTAGGTGAGCAAAACCATAAGGAATCTGGATTTAAAACATGGCGGAGATGCCATATCAGCCCTGGAGAGGTTATGCTTAGACAATCCCAGAGGGAAGACAGGGAATAAAAGAATCTTTTACCTCATTTAAGTCAAGGTTATTTTGTCCTTTGTTACAGCAGTCCAACTGGCATCCTAGGTGGCATTTTTGGAAGGTACAGAGCAGAATTAAACATGGTTTCAACTCTAGTATGTTCTGGAATGGGATATATGATATATATTACATACATAATTTTAAAATATATATAACAGATAATTATGTTGCCTTTCTATCAAGCAAATTTGAACATATATGTATAACATACTGCAAATGTGTATATGAGATCACTGATTACCCACAAAGAGCTTTAAAACCTATGATCATTATAAATTATATGGCCACACACACACTTGAAGTATATATGTTAGAAATATTGTTCATTATTGTTTCATATTTATGTAAATATGATGATTTTGCTCATTGATAGAAACTTTTGGTCAACCCTTCCTATGTCTGTCTTCTCAACATTTCTGTTTTCACAGTAGATGAGACATGGCTAGCCTTGTAAGTGGACTTCTTAACGCATAAATGCATTTGCTAATGAGTTCCCGGAACATGCTAATGACATTTTGTTCTGGATCATTTCCAAAATGGTCTCGAGCAAACAAGCTCATTTAAGAGGAGAAGGAGGAGGAGAGAGAGAGAGAGAATGTTAGTTTAATGGCAGGCATTTATTCAATGGCTGTTAACTAAAAACGTTTGCACATAAATGTGATTACTTGGGAAATAGCATCAGAGTCTGGTTGACTGACATTGGAAATTGAAAATGGACTCCCTTGAAGTTCAAAGCTTTACCACAAATCACAAGAATCATTAATTACTCTACATAGGATTTTGGGAGTTGCTTGTTTCTAAAATCTGCTGCCTTTATGTTCTTGAAGCCTAAACAAGAGAATCAGAGTCCCAGCAAGGAACTAAAAAAGTGAATTTTGTTAATTAAACCAAAATGTAAACTGAAAGTCTGAAAGAATGCCAAGAGTCCACCATTTGTTGATGAGGTATGATTTCTCTATCTCAGCAGCCTACGAAGATCATGTAACTGTGATGTGTTTGATCCAAGTGGATTAAAATACTAGTCTGGCATTTGAAATAACTTTTGAAAAACACAGAGCTATTATATTATAGTTTTGCCATCATTTTCAAGAGATGGAATTGATATGTATCATAGAGTTTATTTATTTTATTTTTAAATTATTAGATCATATTTAATATAAGTCAAATGAATCAAAATAGCATAATAATTTGAAGAATACATCAACAAGCTCTTCTTTGGTGGTCAGAATTTTATATCTCTCCTTTTCTCTCTGAACTTACATTTTTACTTCCCAGTCCTCCCCCAAATTTAATCTTTTTCTTTTTTTCTTTGTAAATTGACAAATAAAATTATTGCATGTATTGTGTACAACTTTTTGAAGTACATGTGCATTGTGTAAATCTAGCTCATTAGCATATTAAAATATGTTTTTGTTTTCATTTATTTTCCTATTTGTACCTCTATTTTTCTTCGTTTTTGGTTTTAGTCAAAGAATCAACACCCTGGTTAGGGCACTAATACTTGAGTTCAAATTTCTTTTTTTTTTTCTTTTAAATTATTAAGGGGGTACACATGTTTCTGTTACATGGATAGCTTTTATAATGCTTTAGTCAGAGCTATAAGTTCAAATTTCTGATGTCTTGATTACTAACTGGGATCTTGGGCCTCAGTTCCCTGATCTCTAGAATGGAGAGTGTACTAGTAACTAATTCACAGTGTGGTGGCACACGAGTTAATATACGCAGTGCACTTTGTTGGATACATCGTCAGTGTGTGGTAAATGTTAGTGTTATTATCCACCATAACAGAGGCCCCTTGAGGCAGCAACTAGCACAGTGAACATTTGATAAATGAATAAATCACTTTTCACTTAATAAATAACATTGATGCTATTAAAATAATGGCTAAGCAAATAATATCCCCTTAATAAACTGAAGAAGGGAATCTAAATAAATTGTGTGGATTTCAATTATTTATGCTATGGACATTTCTCATTTCTGCCTTTTGTCAGTTTTTGGAAAGGCTTTCTGTTATTCATGTTATAAGACACTGGTGGGGAAATTAATAAGGTCCTAAATGCTAGAAAGCACTTTCTATAAAAGAATTTTGAGAAAAATCTAAAATGGCAAATAAACCTTTAATTATTGCATCCTATACTTTCAGGCAAGGAAAAGTAAGGGAGAGAGAGAAGAAAGGAAGGAGAAAAAGGGAGAGAGAGAAAAGATAGCTGAACAGATCTAAAGAAGGCAGAGAATTGCAGGAGTCAGAATAACCCAGAGTTTATCGGTTTACGCTGACACATTTTCCTGGCAAAGGCTGCTGACTGTAGGCAAAGTCACATGACTAGGAGTGTGTGTGTGTGTGTGTGTGTGTGTGTGTGTGTGTGTGTGTGTGTGTGTCTGCTTAAGAGACCGTGAAGCTCTTTGGCTCCAGACTAGCATGTGCACCATGTGATGCTGGGGTTGCCATGGTAAGTACATAGTGTGCAACTGATTTTTTTTTTCCCCTGATATGCTGCTCCATCATAGATACACTAGGATTCAAATTGATACTAAAAGAAAATCACTGCAAGAGGAAGCTCTATGGGGCTTTGATTAAATATTCACCGGTTATACATGGGCTCACCCTGAATTCTGTAAACAAATGGGCTACAACCATTTACCATTTTTCCTCAAATATTATCAGTATATAATTAAAAGTTATATTAAGCTCAGTTTCATTGTTTCCTCTTTTGCTATGTTAAGATTTATATTATAGTGGAATATTTAATTATCTGATTACTATTGATTCCAAAGAAAATTATTTTTCTTTGTTCTTCAAAATAAGGACATGTAAAATATCATAGACTTAGAGAAAATTCTAGGTATGCTGAAGTTTGTGGAAATCTGAAGACAGCATTATGGATTTAACCTAAAAGCTGCCTCAAGAGGTTCATGGGTTTGGAACCGTCTGAGTGGTCAGAAGGTTCTGGCTCTCCACCATGTCTCTAGGTGAAATGCTGGTTTAGTATTTGGACTAGGAATTTCAAGCCCTGCTGTGGTTGCCCTTGTGATCTGCCAGATTTAGTTCAAGTAGAAGGAAGTGACGGGCAAGCCATTACTTGTTCCTGAACCCCAAACCCAAAATAATGCATTCTTTCTCATTGTCTCTTGTTCACTTTTCTTTCTCTGAAATGGTCTTTGGAGTCAAATACACCTGGGCTCCACTCTAACTCTGTCACTCAGTATGTGATCATGGAAATTTATTAAAGTCTCTAAGAGTCAGCTTGAAAGATAACAAATGACAGAATCTACCTCTTGGAAATATCTGGATTAAATGAATATAACATATCAAGAATTTATAGGATGTGGTATACAATAAGCACTAAATCAGTGTCAGCTGCCATGTGGTCTCTTTATGATTATTACATCTTTCCCTCTTACATTATGCAAATTTTTAAAACCTGGCTGTCCTAGAACTTTGAAAATTCCTCCAAAGTGCTCTTAAAGTTTTATTATGCATCTGGATCAATAATTCAATGAAAGCTCAACAGCAAGTACTGTTCAAAAGCCCAGTTTCCTGTTGCTTTCCCAAGAATCACATGTTTGGGGAAGGCAAAATACAGTGAAATCCCTTCCAAAGAATTGGCCTGAGTGGTGACAATTAGGTTAACAAAACCAGTGGATAGACAAGCAGGTGTTTGAAAGCTATGGCCTGTAGGCCAAATCTGGCCTGTCATCTGTTTTTGTCAATAAAGTTTTATTGGAACACTGTCATGCTCATTCAAGTATCCTTGAGGGTGATTTCACACCACCACAGCAGAGCTGAGTAGTTGCAACAGGAACCTAATGGTACACAAAACCTAAAATAATCTCTATCTGAAAATGTTTGCTGACCCATGGACTAGAGGGTATCTGAGTAGGACAATACAAGTAGACAGAGGAGCTTCTTAAAGAGCAGAGCTGCCAAATGATGTTTAGAATCCAAGTTTCAAGTCATCTTTCCAAGCTCCCCTTGAGTCATATATTGAAAAGGAACTCTCAGTCCCACAGTGAAGAGAGAGGAATAATCAACTATAGGACAAAAAATGAAGATTTTAAATTATGAATGATTATAAACTTCATTCATGCTTCACTATCTAAGGAAGAAGAATGCTTTCTTGCCATGTCAGCCCAGAGATCTAGTGTCTTGTGCAGAGTTCAGGTATTTCACAAAGACTGAAGGAGGAAAACTCAATCTCTATTGTGTCCTCCTCATCAATTTCTCCAAATCCTGACATGTTACCTTGATTATAAAACAGGAAGAGCTTAACCAAAGAGAGGAGTAGGGAGAGGAAAGCCTCAGTTGGTTGATGTGGGGACTAGTGAGAATTTATAAGTGGGAAGGAGAGTCATTGTGTCGGGTTTTCTGAATGAAATGTTCCTTTGACTATTCTTTGAGAGACTCCAGCAAAGATCTGAATCACTTTACAAACATCCCAGGCTATTAGACTCTCATTTGTTGGAATGAGATTCTGTGCCAGGGTCTGGCCATTATTTGGCTCAGTTTTAATTTTACATATGGAGAGGAAATCATTACAGAAGATGCATTAAAACTTAAAATAGAATTATGTAGAGAGTGCTATGAAAATAAGAAATAATGCCTGTGAACACCAGACAAGGTTTCCGAGAGAGACTCCTTGAACTGAGTCCTGAAAGAGCCATAGGGACCTGTTCAAGACACAGGTAGTGAATGGTGTAAAGCAGTGGTCCCCAACCTTTGTGGCATCAAGGACTGGTTTCATAGAAGACAGTTTTTCTGTTGACAGGTGGAGGGTGGGGTGGGGGATTCCTAGGGGTGGTGCAGCTCAAGTGGTGATAGCAGTGATGGAGAGTGGCTATAAATACAGTTGAAGCTTCACTGGCTTACCTCCTGCAATGTGGCCAGGTTCTTAAGTTTCATGGAAAATGATTTTTCTTTTCCTTGGGTAGGGGAGGCAGAGCTCTGTGGCCCAGTTCTTAACAGTCCAGGGACCAGTGTCAGTCCACATTTCATGGGGGTGGGGACCACAGGCATAAAGGACGCAAGCATGAGCAGAGGCTGAACTTGGGGAAAACATGCATCCTCCATGACGGGGAGTAGGCCCCTCTAGCAACACTGATACTCCATTTAGTCTTCCTTACAATCTGGCAAGGTGGGCATTATGATTGAGACTTTCATACATATGAAAACTGAGATACTTCAAGGGTAAATAAATTTGACTAAAGTTAAACAGTTTGATGGAGTGCCATTATTTATATCTCACTTAGTATCACGTAAAAAAAAAAGAGACACTTTTTTGGGTAATATCTGAAATATTAAATCCTAAATGGTGATTATCTGGATAACATTGAATATTTTAGCCAATCTGGATATTCCTTAACATTCATCCATCTGTTTTGGAGTTGTGTAGAGAGGACCTTAGGATGAGAAGTAGCTTTCCTACTCAGAGGTCTTCAATAGGTTTTTGAACTTTCCATTTTTTTAATCTAAGGATTTTAGATTGGACTGCCCAGCTGATTTCTGTATCCAAAAAAAATCTAAACTAAACAGAGTCATTTAAGTTAGTTACACCAGGAAACTAGTCTTGCTTCTCCTTTTAATTTAGTGATGACTTGCTGTATGACTACAGGGAACCCACTTTGCCTGCTTAGATGACATTAGATATTAATCCCAATGTGGGAAAAATTGTAAAATAGGGGATTTATGACCAGCTCATTGTCATTCTTTTCATTTCACAATATTTTTGCCACTTATGTGCCCTCTTAACACAGCAGTATTCTCTAATCTATTATCAGGAATGGATCTAATCAAATGGCATCAGTTATACCAAGGGAGGTCTTTTTGCAGAGTGAGAGTTGTTGGAAAAGCATTTCCTCAAATACCACCACATTGCTAGCTTCCTAGTCATCCAGTAATAAGATATGTTATTAATCAGTCATTCAATAAATCTTTCAGATATGCTTATTAAGGTACAGAGTAAATCAAAGTCCCTGCCCTCGTGATGTGGATATTTCAGTGTATAAGAGTTGACAATCACTTGGCACTTACTGTGAGTTCTGTTTTAAGCTTTTTGTGTGTCTGATGTCATTTATTTCTTATAACATCCTAACTAGTTGGTACTATTATTATTATGACCACTTTAGCAGGGAGAAAACTGCAGCCCAGAGAATCTGAGTAATTTGTCCATAATCACACACAGAAAGAATTAGGGCAAAAGCTTGGAAGGAAGTCTGACTCTGTAGATCACACTGCTGCACTATACCACAGGGTGAGATGAAAATACAAAATAAGTAGATTTTTTTAAAAAATTAAAAAAGAAAAAGAAAACGAGAGACAAGTGTAACACAATAACTAGTTTTTGAGGATATTATACTTTTTTTTTATTTATATTATTAAAA